GGCTGAATCATCAGGCATTCGCTATCCCAAGTGGGAGATTAAATGGCGGCTGTGTAGTTACGGTGCAACAATTTTTTGTGTTTTTTTTTTTTTTTTTTGTGTGTAAAATGGGCGGATGTGCAGCTATTAATTGTTCAAATCATTCACGGAAAGGTCATACATTGGTAAAATTTCCTAAAAATGAAGAAAGAAGAAAAATATGGGTAAATAATTGCCGAAGAGACAATTGGAAACCTGGTCCAAGCGCTGAAATTTGCTTAGTAAGTATAATGTTAATTACGCCTTGATTTAGAGTTTATATCTTCTCTGATGTTTATAATGTGTAAGTAAAGTGAAATTCTTGTGTACAATAACCTAAGTATCTGCTAATTTCTGTAATAATAGCTATAATTAAATTAGTCTAGGGTTAATGTACCCGTCGCCAAACATCGCCAATGTGGATGTTTTGAATGTGGAAAAGAAATTTCTCTTCTAATATAAAGCGCAAATTTTGTTTTCCTGTGCTAATTGTGGAAATTATACTAATGTAACATGAAAATCATTAGCATATTAAAATTTATTAAAAAACAAATCATAATTTGGAAAGTCAAGATAAAATCTGAATGTTTGCTAAAGATATATGTAACATTATACTATAGTTGCAATATCGTTGGAATGATATATAATTTTTTTCTTTATTTTATAATCACTATTGTTAAAAAGTTAGATGAGTTTTTTTATGCACGGTGCCCACTAATGTTTCTTGGTTAAAATAACTTCCAGAATTTTGACATTGACATCTGAAGTCAATAGAATAAATTGAATAGTATGAGACAAAATATATATAATCTGACTTCAATAATTGCAAGTACCATATATTTATAATCACAGTATTATACAATTTGGCAATGGAGTAAAGATTTAGAAATGAATGCAGAACATTCAAATAAGCACAGAAAACTTGTGAAACTGCATGTGTATTTTTCAAAAATAATTGTAGTGTTTTTAATGCATGTGTAGTGTTTAATGCATGCATAACAATCAAATAAATCTGCCTATAATGATGAATTTCAAAGGCCAAGCCAAAATCCTTTCATGAATTTGATACTTCTAAAGAATGTGATCTCGTCAAATTAAATCCTCATGACATTGATAAACAGTTATTACTGATATGTGTTACAAAGCAGATTTTTATACATGATAAATAATATTTTCTGAAGCGTTATTTTGTGTTGTCATCTCTAAATAAGAAATTGCCTACAAATTCAGAAAGCTACTGAACTACGTTCTAGAGTTTTTAATAACTTTAATTGGATATGTCTGTGGGGATGTAATTTATGTAATTTAAAAAATTGTCGTTTAAACTGGCCTTGATGCTTTTTAAAATGCATGTTGGCACTGTGCTTCGAAATTAGGCCTATGTTTTGAATGATTAGAGAATTAAAAATTAAATATTTCAATTAAAGCAATAAACATTACTACAATTATAACAAGAATCATAGTCTGCTCTAATTATAAATGTATTTATCGGCCTAGTATCTTAAAAGTTGGGTGAAGTGAACTCATATTTTCTTATCTATTGTAAGAGCACTATAGCAAGAAATATAAAGTTTTATTTTAGTTGTTTTTAATTTTATAGCAAAACACTACTTCATTTAATTTTTGGATAATGTTCTAAAGAACACTTTAAATTATAGGCAAAAAATAAATATTGGATAATTAAATTCTGCCCAAGCTTACAAGATGCTGCTGCTGATATGTTAGACATGGTTTGTTTATTGTTTCAGTTTTTTATAATACTGGGCCTAATTTAATTACCTGCATATTTATTTATTGCCTATACTTACTTACAGTTCATGCTTGCTGCCTTTGGCACAACCTCACTGTGTGAAACACTTTTCTCACATTTCTTTCGTGTGGTTTGTTTTTTTGTACTTTTATTTATTTGTATACTTTTTTTTTATTACTTTATGTATTTACAGGATCATTTTGAGGAATCTCAATTTGAGTCACTATGCAAAGATAGTTAAAAAACTAAGAAAAACTGCAGTACCAACACTCTTTAGCATTCCAAATCCACCACCATCTGTAACTGACAAGAGGATAAGAGAAGTAAGATGTCCTAAGCCAAATACTGAAGTGGTAAATTATTTAATATTCTCCAAAAAAATTGTTGAAAAAATCATTGTTATTACAAATATATTAATTCAGTCAAACCATTGTTTAAAAAAAATAATCACAGCATAACATGTTTACTATTTCTTTTTGAATTTAGGAAACTCTACCTGCTTCAAATGAAGAGTTGTTAAAAAAAATAGAATTCCTTGAGCAACAGCTTCAAGAAAAAGATGCAAAATTGACATCATTTTTGTCCGATGAGCAAGTAGGAACCCTTGCTGTGCAGTCAAAAAGGAACTGGTCAGAAAAGTCCATTATAAAAGGACTGAAGATGCGATTTGCTTTGGGCAAACATGGATATAATTACCTCAGAAGTACTGGATATCCAGCACCATCGTACAGTACCTTGAACAGGAGGATTAGGGACATAAAAATTAATTTCGGCATTTTAGAAAATTTGTTTTTTTTCCTCAAGACAAAAGTTCATTCATTGGATGCTCTTGATAGGAACTGCTGCCTTTTAGTTGACGAAATGGAAATAGCTTCATATCAAGATTTTGATACATCGTCTAAGTCATTCATTGGAAATGTTACGTTAACACTATTGTCGTTATTACACTATTGTAATGCTTAGAGGCCTTAAAACATCATGGAAACAGATTGTTGCCAATGAATTAACAGGGCCTTCAACATCAGGTTCTGACATGAAAGATCTAATTCATAGAACTGTAGTAGCAGCTACAGAAATAGGTTTAACTGTAAGAGCCTCTGTTTCAGATATGGGAAGCAATAACAGAGCAATGTGGTCGTCATTGGATGTGTCTGTCTCTAGGAGAGATAGGAAGACAAATTACAACATTGGAGGACCTGATGTTTTCATTCACAGTATTGCAGATGTACCACATCTCATTAAAAAAATATGAGAAATACATTTCTTTCAAGTATTATAATATTACCAGAGGAATTTCGCCAGCCAGCATGCCTTGCCATCGAGGATAGTATCTTCAGTGTATGTGAAACGACTCTGGTCAAGTGAGATAGAAGCAGATGCTGCCCTGAGATCTCTACATCACTTGAACAGAGTTCATCTCTTCCCAACACACTTTTCCTCGATGAATGTGGCATCTGCTGTGTGCAATTGTTTTCTGTAAAAAACAGCTGCTGCTATTGAAAAAGCAGGTTATTTTTACACCAAGTTGCAAAAGAAGCATTAACTTCTGCATGGTGGCTGAGTGGCTGAGACTTGTAGCAGAATGGTTTACAATTATGACTACAAGGCATCCAAAAAAAGGCATCACTATCAAAAATCAAGATGAGAAATTTAATATTTTATTGAAATTCATTCATGTGACTGAAACTGTTCAGTTTGGGAAAGCATGGAAGCCATTTCAAACTGGCATTATTATGAGCACATTGAGTGTTGTGAAACTCTCAAAAGAATTATTTTCCGAGGGGTTTACATTTTTCTTACCAGGCAGGTTGACACAAGATGCGCTGGAAAATGCCTTTTCACAGATTAGACGAAAGTTGGGTGCAAAGCCTACTGCTTTGCAAGCCAAGAGAGAGAGCACTGAAATTAGTGTGCCTATCACAGTTCATTTCAGATATCAATAATCCAAATTATTGTTCTGAAAGTGACCACAGCCTCTTTGATGCTTCTGAATTAGAGGTTGCTATCAAAAAGGAGGTCTTGCATCCTATCTCCAATTCTGTCGTGTCATCTATCTCTTCTGCAGTGGCAGTGAAAACGTCGCTTAGCCCCCAGCTGTGGAAGAAAATGATATACATTACATCGCAGGAGCCATATATAATAAGTTGTTGAAAAAAAAAAGCATATGTGAAAATTGTAAAACAGCTATGACCATTTCAGAGGACATGCTGGAACCTGACATACCCGAGCATCGCACAATTCTTACAAAACATAGCAATAAAGGTGGACTGAAGGTCATCTCTTCAGGAATGTATCAAATATGTAGGGAAGCTGAACGAGAATTTCAAAAATGTAAAGATGTACTCCTTCGTTTACAATCAGCCATCACAAAAGAATTAGTTGAAAGAATAATTGATAAATGTACGCATGTGGCCATGCCAGAATGCTGTAATCTTAAGAAAGTAATTATTGATAATTTTTTTATTACTAGATGCAAAGGCCTTACACAGCATCTTATCAACAAAAGAGCCCTAACGTTTGCTTTGATTCTTGAGAGCTCACAGGCAGAACAATAATAGCAATCAATCTATTAGCGGATCTGAAGTAAAATTCGGGATGGAATAACAAAGAACGTGACAATTTCAGAGGTTAGGTTATTTCGCGACATTTACGGAAGTTGGTCAAAACTGCGACAGTTTTAAAGAGATTCGCAGATAATCACTCGACAGGCTAAGGGTTAATAAATACCTCCCCTCAATTGACATAAGTATAGGAGTTACAAATTGGATCAAATACTCTGAAATTCTGAATAACTCCATACAAGGTAACCCATACATCAACAATAAAGAAGATTTAGAACACGAAGTCTCAAAATTTACCAATTGCACCAATTCTGCTTTAAAGGAAGCCACCAATACTTTTTATGTGAACAAGCCTTCCCTACCCCTGCCTGCCGATATAAGAAATAGTATTAAAGAAAAAAACCGGATCCGTAAAAGATGGCAAACCACCAGGGATCCACAACTCAAACACGAACTAAACTCTACGCAAAAAGAAATCAACAGAAGAATCAAGAACTTTAAAAACCAAAAATGGACCAATTTCCTAAATAACCTAGATGTAGAGGACAATTCCCTATTTGACATTTCCCGCAAATTCAAGAAACCTTATAAACCTATTCCACCTATCCATGGACCTAGTGCAATTTCATGTACAGAAGAAGATAAAGCTAAATCTTTTGCGGACTATGTGGAAGATACATTCACTCTTAATCCCACTCCGTACGACAATAACCATATTGAACGGGTCAACCAGGTGGTCAATAACTTCCTTAACACCCCTGCTCCGTACAACTTCACTTTCCTGACTACCCCAACCATCTTTGCCAACACCATCAGCGCCTAACAAACGAAGAAAGGCCCAGGGCACGATGGCATCTCGACCAAAGCACTGAAGCATGTTCCGATCAACGCTCTTATCTGCCTAACTAAGATAATCAACAACATTATCAAATTCGCTTATTTTCCTAACTCATAGAAGCAAGCTATAATAATTGTTTTTGCTAAACCGCAACAAAAATCCAACTCTCCCACAGAACTATCAGTTTACTTAACCATCTGTCTAAAGTTACCAAAAAAATCCTACTTTTCTACATCCAAAAAAATTCACCCTTCCATGAATTTTCTCCCAGAACAATTCGGCTTTCGTAATCATCATAGCACTTGCCACCAACTTTTTAGAGTTATCAACATTATCACTGAAGGCTACAACTGCAAGCTTCCGGTGATATATTCCTCGATATCGCGAAAGCTTTTGACAGGGTATGGCATCGAGGCCTTATTTACAAACTGATCACTCTCAATTTTCCAGATCATTTTATTCTCTTAATAGTCTCTTTTCTCAGCAACAGAACATTCAGAATCAAAATCGGTACTGCTTACTCTACCACCAGAGTAATCAATGCTGGTGTCCCACAGGGGTCGGCACTTTCACCGTACCTTTTTAATATTTATACACAAGACATCCCTAAAGACCCTTCTGTTCATCTTGCACTCTTTGCCGATGACACCGCCATACTTACTAAAGCCTGCACAGTTAGTAAGTATAGCACACCGCCATACTTACTAAAGCCCACAGGGGTCGGCACTTTCGCCGTACCTTTTCAATATTTATACACAAGACATCCCTAAAGACCCTTCTGTTCATCTTGCACTCTTTGCCGATGACACCGCCATACTTACTAAAGCCTGCCACAGTTATCGCCGCGTAAGAAACCAACTCCAAAGCTATCTCATAAAACTGGAAAAATGGCTTACCCTTTGGAGGATTAAAATTAACACTGATAAAACTAAGGCAATAATTTTCCGTAAAGGAAACACGAAATACTATCTTCCACCCCCTGAAATATTTGACGAAGAAATAGACTGGATTAATGAAACCAAATACCTTGGAGTCACCCTTGACCAAGAACTTAACCTTCAGAACCCACTTCCGGTCCGTAGTACAAAAATTTAAAATCACCATAGCTACTATGCGACCTCTTCTTGGTAGAAAAAGCAACTTATCTACTACAAACAAATTAATTCTATGTCGCTCCATACTGCGCCCAGCCCTCCTTTATGCAGCACCGATCTGGGGACATGCAGCTAAAACCAATATTAAACAATTACAGATTCTACAAAATAAAATTCTACGAGAAATTATCAATGCTCTTTGGTATATTTCAAACATCTATATTCACAGAGACCTTCGAATCGAACTTATTCAAGAGTATATTAAAAGATTAGCGGTCAACTTCTTTTATTCAGTCAAACCACAGTAATAGCCTTATTAGCACTCTCAGACATCCCCCCGCATCCCAGAGAAAACAGTTCCCTTGCCACCCATAGAACACACCTTTTGAATATCCGCTAAGATCATAATATATTTTAAGACACTGACTGCCGATTTCCCGCGCTAGGCACTTTTTTTTTCGATCCAACTGTACTTATTTTTCCATTAGCTCCTATATACCAGGCTGAATCATCAGGCATTCGCGATCCCAAGTGGGAGATTTAATGGCGGCTGTGTAGTTACGGTGCAACAATTTTTGTGTTTTTTTTTTTTTTTTTTTTTTTGTGTGTGTGTAAAAATGGGCGGATGTGCAGCTATTAATTGTTCAAATCATTCACGGAAAGGTCATACATTGGTAAAATTTCCTAAAAATGAAGAAGAAAGAAAGAAGAAAAATATGGGTAAATAATTGCCGAAGAGAGACAATTGGAAACCTGGTCCAGGCGCTGAACTTTGCTTAGTAAGTATAATGTTAATTACGCCTTCATTTAGAGTTTATATCTTCTCTGATGTTTATAATGTGCAAGTAAAGTGAAATTCTTGTGTACAATAACCTGAGTATCTGCTAATTTCTGTAATAATAGCTATAATTAAATTAGTCTAGGGTTAATGTACCCGTCGCCAAACATCGCCAATGTGGATGTTTTGAATGTGGAAAAGAAATTTCTCTTCTAATATAAAGCGCAGATTTTGTTTTCCTGTGCTAATTGTGGAATTTATACTAATGTAACATGAAAATCATTAGCATATTGAAATTTATTAAAAAATAAATAATAATTTGGAAAGTCAAGATAAAATCTGAATGTTTGCTAAAGATATATGTAACATTATACTATAGTTGCAATATCGTTGGAATGATATATAATTTTTTTCTTTATTTTATAATCACTGTTGTTAAAAAGTTAGATGAGTTTTTTATGCACGGTGCCCACTACTGTTTCTTGGTTAAAATAACTTCCAGAATTTTGACATTGACATCTGAAGTCAATAGAATAAATTGAATAGTATGAGACAAAATATATATAATCTGACTTCAATAATTGCAAGTACCATATATTTATAATCACAGTATTATACAATTTGGCAATGGAGTAAGATAAAGATAAAGATTTAGAAATGAATGCAGAACATTCAAATAAGCACAGAAAACTTGTGAAACTGCATGTGTATTTTTCAAAAATAATTGTAGTGTTTTTAATGCATGTGTAGTGTTTAATGCATGCATAACAATCAAATAAATCTGCCTGTAATGATGAATTTCAAAGGCCAAGCCAAAATCCTTTCATGAATTTGATACTTCTAAAGAATGTGATCTCGTCAAATTAAATCCTCATGACATTGATAAACAGTTATTACTGATCTGTGTTACAAAACAGATTTTTATACATGATAAATAATATTTTCTGAAGCGTTATTTTGTGTTGTCA